CAACAGAGGCATTATTTGCATTTCCTTATCATTACTCTTCTCATTGTAACTAGTGGCAGAGATCCAGTCCTGAAGAGAACACAACTATGTTGCACAGTTTAACGTTAGCTTTCAGTTCAAGCATATGAGATATGGACTCTTACCATTAAGAGACAATGGTAAGCAACATGGCTTAATGAGAGAGAGAGAGAAATACTTTATATGTTGTACAAGCAATATAGTGCTCTAAATATTAAAGTATACACAATTTTATTCAAAAATTAACTTTTATTCATAAAAGTTAAATCAATAATACTGTGAAATATTTTTACAATTTAATATTTTTACAATAACTGTCATATATTTGAATATACTTTAAAATGTAATTTATTTCTGTGATGGCTAAGCTGAATTTTCAGCAGCCTTTACTCCAGTCTACAGTGTCACACGATCCTTCAGAATTCATTTGAATATGCTGATTTGGTGCTCAGGAAACTTTTATTATTATTATTAATGTAGAAATCTGCTTAATATTTTTTTGTGGAAACCATGATACTTTTTCACAAAACGAACAGCATTTATTTGAAATAGAATATTTTTGTAAAAATTGAAAAGACTTGACTTTGATTAATTTGACGCAACCTTGTTGAATAAAAGTATTAATTTCATTAATGTATAAAAATGTATATATTAAAAAATATATTTTTATATTAATATTTTAATATTAATATATGAAGAAAAAAACATTTTCTTTTTTAGATTTTTTAGACACCGTTATTGATGATGTTTGTGAATATTTATTTTTATTACATAAAATTAAGATTTTTACTTATCACAAACACATAAAAGATATCAGAATAAAAATAAACATACTCTGAAACAGTCTGAATACCCATTCACCTATTTCATCTTATGTGTACAGAGGCCTGTCTGTGACATGCAGACAAAAATATATTTATCGTGGCCACAAATGAAGAATTAATTCCCACTACTTAATTCTCTCTCTCGTTTTAGTTCAATTGTGTTCACTAATTAAGAATTAATTCCCCCGTTTCAGTAAATTGTGTCCACATTAACTAAATAAATCAAAGCAACGGAACAATTTAGCACATGACAAGGACTTACCCACGAGGGAACAAATTCTTAATTTTGTGGCCATGATTTAACCAAAATGAGAGAACAAATTTCTAATTTGTGGGAACGATAAATATATTTTTGTCCACATGGCACATGCAGAGCTCTGTATTTCTGATAAGGAGGAGCCAATTAATAAAAGGAATTGTTCATCCAAAATTTTTAATCACCCCATGATTTACTCCCTCAAGCCATCCTAGGTGTGTATATGACTTCTTCTTTTAGACGAATACAATCAAAGTTACATTAAAAAATGTCCTGGCTCTTCTAAGCTTTATAATGGGGGCCGAGCACTTTTTTTGATGTATGGGTGCACTTTATTTTGCTTCAAAATCTCGACCACCATTCACTGCCATTATAAAGCCTGGAAGAGCCAGGACATTTTTTAATATAACTCCGATTGTATTCGTCTGAAAGAAGAAAGTCATATACACCAAGGATGCCTTGAGGGTGAGTAAATCATAGGGTAACTTTGATTTTTGGGTGAACTATCCCTTTAATAAATCTGAAGTACCCTGCTAACCTTTGATTAAGTGGATCCAGGAAAAATGATTCTACAGGCCCTGTTTGAGTACTCTCAAAGACTCTGCTCAAAGCTCAGTACTGCGAAAGATCAGATATCATATTTGCATACGTGTGCAATGGCCCGTATCGCAAGGAAAAAGACCGGAGCCCCCTTTTAACAAACTGCCACCGAGCACCAGCTAAATAATAACAGAATTAACAATTACATGACAGCTAATCACAACGGGCCGATGATTACCAACAAAAGCCCTGTCACCATCAAACCCCTCCACCGTTGCAGTCATTTCAACTTTAAAAGCCTGCTCTCAATGTACCCTTTTCTCCCTACTTTCTTGTTCTAACTGAGCCCTGAGGGTTTCCACACTCCAGTTGAATTTGCATGTCAAAGTTTCAGCTAAAACTTCAGCGGAAGGCAGTTAGCAGCTCTCGGCTCTGAAAAAAACGAGAACAGAGAGGCTCCTTATGTCCTGTATATGTGTGCAGGTTCTGCATAGCACAAAAACGAAACCCGCTTTCCTGAGAGGTCAGGAACTGAGCAGAGCGAGTAACTCGAGGACAGATGCAGACACATCTCCTAATTGACAATTGCTCAGCTGTTTTCACTCCTTGGTGATATGTAAAGAGCAAGATGGCAAAATGTGGCGCGGGGTTAAAAAGAACTATTTTTGAAGTCCAGACCAGCAACCGACTGCTGGTAGTGCAAAACTAATGTGCTTAAGAGCAGGTACAAAGCATACAGCTGTTTTCACTCCTTGGTGATATGTAAAGAGCAAGATGGCAAAATGTGGCGCGGGGTTAAAAATAACTATTTTTGAAGTCCAGACCAGCAACCGACTGCTGGTAGTGCAAAACTAATGTGCTTAAGAGCAGGTACAAAGCATACAACGCCAGCCCTGGGGTTGATTGACTCTTTTGATTGGCCGTCCTTGAGGTGGGACCCAGACTGGCAGTGCCTGTCTGGGTCCTGGTAAATCACGTCTGTCTTTCACGCTCTAAAAAGTCTACCTTTGAAGGGGGCCAGTGGCTCTGCCTGGCACACTCTCAAAAATCACAGGCAGCGAGAGGAAGCTGTGCCACAAGTCAATTATCTGCCCCTGGGTGAACAGAGGGGGAAAAAAAGGAAGGAAAATGAAAAGACAGGTGGGGGATCAGAGTGCTGTCAGAGTGGACTCTCCACATTAGTGCATACAGTGCTGCCCCGCTGATGATGCTGATGGGCACTGGGGCAATCTTGCCCTTATACTTACTCCACAGCAGCCTTGTAGATAAACTAGGAAAAAGAGAATTTTTTTAAATTAAGTTGAAAGTTGAATAAATAAGCTTTCCATTGATGTATGGTTTGTTAGGATAGGACAATATTTGGCAGAGATACAACTATTTGAAAATCTGGAATCTGAGGGTGCAAAAAAATCTAAATACTGAGAAAATCGCCTTTAAATTTGTCCAAATGAAGTTCTTAGCAATGCATCTTACTAATCAAAAATTAAGTTTTGATATATTTACGGTAGGAAATTTACAAAATATCTTCATGGAACATGATCTTTACTTAACATCCTAACGATTTTTGGCATAAAAGAAAAAACTATAATTTTGACCCATACAATGTTTTTTGGCTATTGCTAAAAATATACCCAAGCGACTTAAGACTGGTTTTGTGGTCCAGGGTCACATATATCAATACATTCCAGGGTCAAAAATGGTTGCTTGGCGCAAAAAATGCCACTAAAACTGACCATATTTTAAGATTTCAATAAAAAAAAACCTGCATAATTAAACTAAATCTATTACTGCAGTTGTGATTAAAAAATGAAAGCTGAAAACAAATGACATGTGTCAACTGTGTTTACATTACACTTAGATCTGCTCATGTTGCAATAGATTTCTTTTTACACGTTTTTGGCAGCGCGACTATTATAACCAATCATAGAATGAAGACATGGACTATAGTGATGGGGAACGTTCTTTGCACAATTTCTGTATGTAAATTAATCCAAGTTTGAATAACCGTTTTGTTTTAACCAAAAACCAATGTGAACCAATGTGTAAAAAAAACACAATTTCATAAATTGTTCTTAACTTCTTGTGTAGCAAGAAATTGATGTCCCACTTCATATTTTAAGTATACTATTAATTGACATTAATATTAAATATTACAATATCAAAAGCAGTAATCAGCAATAATGATTTTTGTTGCCGCCCTACACTGTAATGAGTTCCTTTTTTTTATTAATGTACTTTATGTAGGTTATTTACATCATGCAACTGTTGTGTAAACAACATAAATGTCATGTCAGATGCAGCTGTTCCACCGTTGCAGTGTAAGGATGGCTTTTGTTGATGCTGATAAAATTGTATTGGTCATCTTCTGTAGTATTCTGATTGATTGAAATAATTGATTAAACGTAAATATTTGTCATAAAAGATTACACATTTAATAAGGCAATTTCCCTTACAAAGGTAAAAAATGCCCAAGGTTGATTTCTACAGTTTGATCTTATGTGGTTCAGTCAGATCAGTCAGAGAACAGAGAACAATCAGTCCAGGAAGTGCTGAAGAAGTAGCCAAAAACAGCAGATTACAGCATTGCAACTTCTAAAAATCTTCTGCAGGTTTCAAAACATCACTCTGCACACTTTTTGTTGTAAAACTACCTTTGTGAAATAATTCACAAAAATTGTGAGGGCGGAGATAGGGGCCCAGCCACTAACACTTACAGTGATGTCATGCAAGCTGGTAAGTAGCAGGTGGTGACAGTGGCACTGATGGAAAGTGTTTTTGGGGGTGGCTCTGGCTCTCTTTTCAGTAGCATTCTCTTTATTTTGCCTTTTTGTGCTCTGCTGACATGTTTTCATCTCATATTTTTGGATTACTGTCATTTAAAAAGTTTAAATGTTGCGGCCTACAAACTTTGCCATTGCCAATGTTTTCTGCCAGCTGTGCACAGAATCAACAATCAACTTTCGAATGCATGATACATTGTTTCCCACAACTGTGAATCTTTTGAAAATACATTTATGTCAAATTAATAGTTTGCAGATAAACCTTGTCATGCTGCTCTGGATGCAGTTTTCTTTGCAGTACACAGTTGTGCCACATTATAAATTTAAGAAATGGATTCAAAAGTGTGAATCTGGATTTCAACTTTCAAGGCTTTGTCAAGGCTTTGTCAAGTTAACAATCAAAGTATGTCACTTATAGTAATTCTAGAAATTTCTATTGAATTTCAATCCTTTTTAACTCCTAATTACTACTAACCCACATACTAACCTGCCTAATAATCCTGCATATTCAGGTGAGCCAAACAATAGAAGGACAAGGAAAAAAGAGAACCTGCCGTTATAGAGAAAATTCGCAGTACATACCTTGTTGCCGATGGCTTTTTTAGGTGGGAAATTGAATGTGTCGACTTGTGGGAATTGCGGCCGCAGGTAATTGTGCAGTGCCCTAAACTCAGCATAGCGCCGGTACACATTCCACTCATTGTCCAGGATTCTAATGTACACCTGAAAAAAATAAAATGCATAAAATGTCACAGGTTACAGTGATGATTATCTGATGTGTCATTTTGCTGTTGTTGGTCTCATTATTATTTGCATCTGTTATAAACCAGGTTTCCCATGGTGCCGTAGCCAGATAGGCATAAGGGACTGTATCTAGAAGTGCACTGCAGGGAAACAACAAAAGGAAGAGGAGGGAGATAGGAGGAGAGAGATGCTATTTTCATGCCTCACTTTCTCCTTCAGAGCAGGACAGAGGAGCCTGGCTCAAATTACCCAAGCAAGACCTCTGATCACAGCAAAGCGGCATGCTTAAGTCTCTTGAACAGACAGCAGTGAGTCCACCGGGGACGCAAGGCAGAGAGTGTGCATGTCTGTTTTTAGTAACAAGATCTCATGAGAGGTTAGACTCTAACAGCACGTTAGCACCTGCGAAGCCACGCTGACAGTGTCAAACTCAGGCTGTTCTGAGGCTACTGGTGTCACAGCGTCAGTGCAATAACTTAAAAAAAAACATGCATGCAAACCAGACACCAAAATAACTCAAATGGCCTTAAAAACTAAAACTGCGTTCTACAGGCTATTGCAAATTTCCAATGTAATTCTCATTGTTCATGCAACAGCATGCAGCCAGTACCCATAGTAACACGGACGAAAGGGTAACACTTTAGTTTAGGGACCAATTCTCACTATTAACTAGTTGCTTATTAGCAGGCATATTACTAGCATACTGGCTGATTATTAGCACTTATAAAGCACATATTAATTCTTTAAGCTGCATGACCATAATTTAAATCCCTTAATCCTACCCCATACCGAAACAACTACCTTGCTAACTATTAATAAGCAGCAAATTAGGACTCAATTGAGGCAAAAGTTGTAGTTAATAGTTAGTTAATAGTGAGAACTGGTCCTAAACTAAAGTGAAAGTACACTGTCATTCAAAAGTTTGGGGTTGGTCAGTTTCTTTTTTTAATATTTTAAAGTCTCTTTTGCTCACCAAGGGTGCATTTATTTGATCAAAAATGCAATAAAAACAGTAACATCATGAAATATTATTGCAATTTAAAATAAATGTGTTCTATTTTAATAAATTTTAAAATGTAATGTACATTTTTAGTGAGCAGCCATTACTGCAGTCTTCAGTTTCACATTATGCTTCAGAAATCTGCTTAATATTTTTGTGAAAAATGTGATACATTTTCTTCAGAATTCTTTGATAAATTTCAAAGTTCAAAAGAACAGCATTTATTTTAAACAGAAATATTTAACATTTAAATGCCTTCACTGTCACTTTTTATCGATTTAATTTGTCCTTGCTGAATAAAAGTATGAATTTGTTTAAAAGAATCTTTTAACGGTAATGTATAAATCAAAGATGGTGACTTCTAAAACAATTGACATGATGTTTGTGTGGAGACGTGCTGATATCACATTTGTTCTCATTCTGTATCGCGCATCTTGTCAGTGTCTGCGCTTGCTTGGCCATTTGTTGTGGAGAAAATAAGGAAAGTGTGTCCAGCTGAATTAATTTAGTATTTTGTTAGACGGGTATAAAAAAAGCTTAGTTTACCGCGACAGCGGTCGCGGCAGCCGTCGCGTGAAGACCGAAGAGTGTAAAGACCATTGACTCTACCGTGCGACTCCACCGGGCAGGGACACTGGCAAAGGATAAGTATCGATTTTTATTTCTCCTCTTTCCTATTACTTGTTTCGCTTCCGTTTCAGTTTTTATAACCATTTCTTACTGTGTGTAAGTAAGTTGTTGTTTTTTAGCATGTGTGTTTGGCTTGGCAGTGTTATTTTTTAGGATTACTGATAAACTACTGTCATTTGATTTGTATTATTTGTATTTGTTATTTATTTTAATTTTAGTTACATTATGTCTGAATTTATTATGTCTGTATAGGTCTTTTATTAAGTTTTTAGTTTTATTTAATTTGAGTTATTTTAATACTTCAACAAACTAAGTGGAAATTAAATAATATATATATATTGAATTTATAAATGTGTATGTACATATATAGTATATATGTATGTGTGTGTGTGGTTGTACATACACATATGTAGTTGTTTTTTTGGTGTTTGGCTAAGTGTTATGTTAGAATCATTATTATACACTTATACCTTTTGTTCTTTAATATTTTGAATTGTTTTTAGCTTTATTTTTTGTTTTTCATTTAAATGTTAAGTTTTTAAATTTTGTTGTATGCATTTGTCATTTTTATTTAATCTCTTTATTTTGAAAATGTGTATAGGTAGTATTTATAAAGTTTTAGCTTTAGTTTTGGATCTGTTTTTAGTTGTTTTAATACTACAATTGATTGCTTCTGTTGTCCTCATTTGTAAGTCGCTTTGGATAAAAGCATCTAATAAATGACTAAATAAATAAATGTTAATTAATTAATTTTCCATATGAACTACAAACGAGAGTTCATTCATCACACGTTATGAATTTTGAATCGTTTTGAATTTTGCAGCATTATACATTAACAAATACGTTGATGAAAAACCATCTCTCGTGATCCATGACCCAGAACAATAACAAAAGGTTACCCACTCTTTCCCATAGTGCACTGGGGGAACGGACATGTAAAAAGCGGAATGACACTAAAAATCACATTGGAAGGTCTTGGGTGTTGAAGATGAGAGTGAGCAGAATAACAAACAAGGCTTAGTCACAAGCAGCAGGCCATTACAGTTTCACTCATAGCCATTATCTTTAATAGCCTGTGCTCTGTTTGAGTTCAGTCTGGTTTGGCGATTTCATGAATATAGGATGTTGATGCTTTATAAAGTTTCATTTAATTCTCTTTACAAATTAGCTTGATAGCAACTGCTTTATGCAAATCTTATTTATGATTAAACCTTGAAATTCTATAAACAAGGGATATTTCAAAGAAGCTGCCACAATCATATTAAGACACCCAGAATGATGAACAGACACACTGAATCACACAAACACACACACACACAAGAGATGTTTCATAGCCTTAACTAAAGGAAATCAAGTTGACAAACTGACGGTGCATTAAAGCTGTCATAATCCTATAGAGGCGGTTTCATTAGCATACATATTTATGGCAACAAATCATCCTCTAAAGAGCAATCACTTCCCCCTCAATAATTGCAAATTAATACTATGAAAAAGTGTTTCAGGAAATCCAGCTCTCACTTACAAATCTTTCTTGACAAAAATAAAACCAACCTCAATTAAAATGAAAGCTTATGGCAACATGTCAAGAAATTCTGGAATTAGCCAAATCAAACAAAACAACATTAAAAAAAGGAGCAAGTGTTGAAAAAATGTAATAAAATTTCACCTGCATTTCACTCTCAATATTTATTCATCATTAAACATTTCAATCTAGATTGTAATGCGAGTAAAGTAACTCTCTGTCATGATGCTCGTGTGTTTCGTGCCATTGCCAGGGCATTTCTAGACAGTATGAGTCGCTAAGGTGTTCTGAGTGGTTGTAGCACAATGTTATGCGGTTGCTAGGGTGATCTGAGTGGTTGCTATGCAGTATTCCAAGTGGTTTTAGCATGCTGCTAAAGTGTTCTGATAAGAACATTGCTATGAAGTTGCTAGGGTGTTCTGAGTGGTTTCAGCAGAACACTTAAAATGTTCTGATTGGTGAATGATGACACATTGCTATGTGGTTGCTAGGGTGTTCTGAATGGTTGTTTAGATGTTGGTGGTTTTATCAAACTGATAATGTGTTCTGGTTGCTATGTGTTTTAAATGGTTGCTAAGATGTTCTAAGCCGTTTTAGTTCACTGTTAGAAAGTACACATGAAATCAAAATTGACTATATTTATTTTGTTAGAGCACACTGCTATTTTTGTGGTGAACAATTCATCCGTGCAAGTCAATAATAAAAAAATATTTATATAGTTTGCCTTTGTAATCTTTCATCCAAATCTGAAAATGCACCTCCCAGCTGAAATGACGGACCTTCTCCGATGACGTCAGTTTGACGGCTTGGGCTTGAGCATAACATCCTTAAACACACCCTCCAACTGTCAGTGTTGTTCTGAATGAAATGCCTACTTTACTACATCCAATCAGTTCGCAGTAGAAAAAACAAGCCACGCCCTCTGTTTTTCTCATTCAATATTCCGTTTCTCTCTGAAGTACGTCACAATACGGAAGTCGGTCGCAACTTCCGGTTCACACAGACTTTAAAGTGTTCTGATTGGTGGTGGTACATTGCTGTGCAGTTGCTAGGGTGTTCTGAGAGGTTTTAGCACACTGTAAAAGTGTTTTGATTGGTGTTAGCATATTTCTAAGTGGTTGCTATGATGTTCTGAGTGGTTTTAGCACACAGTTAAAAGAGTATTGATTAGTGTTAGTACATTGCTAAGTGGTGGCTAGGGTGTTCTGAATTGCTATATGGTATGTAAAGTGTTCTGATTGGTGTTAGCATATTGCTCAGCGGTTGCTAGGGTGATCTGATTGGTTGCTATGATGTTTTGAGTGGTTTTAGCACACAGTTAAAGTGTTCTGATCAGTATTAGTACATTGCTAAGCGGTTGCAATAAAGTGTTTTGAGTTATTGCTATGTGATATGTAAAGTGTTCTGATTGGTGTTAGTACATTGCTAAGGAGTTGTTAGGTTGTTCTGAGGGGTTACTATGTGGTTAATAAGATGTTCCGAGTGGTTTTAGGACACTGCTAAAGTGCTCTGATTAGTGTTAACGTATTGTGAAGCGGTTGCTATGGTAGAGTTATTGCTACGTATGTGGTAGCTAAGATGTTTTGAGTGGATTTAAAACACTGCTAAAGTGTGCTCATTGGTGTTAACATATTGCTATGCGGTTGCTACGGTTTTCTGTCTGGTGTTAGTACATTGTTACGTGGTTGATAAGGTGTTCTGAGTGGTTTTAGCACCAGGGTTGGGGAGTAATGAAATACACGTAACGTTATGTATTTAAAATACAAAATATGAGTAACTGTATTTCGTTATAGGTATATTTTAAATGGGTGTAAATTAAATGCACTT